GATTAACAAAACAATAATGAAGATAAAAAAAAATTTGTGAAGGGTCCGATTAAAAGAAAAATCATTTTGTGAAGGGTCCGTTTTTAAGTTGAAATATTTTGTGAAGGGTCCGTTTTTAGGAAAAGATATTTTGTGAAGGGTCCGTTAACGGACCTAAATTTCTTCTAAACAGACCCTTGTATATATAGATATATATTAGTACATATAGCCTTTCATGCATGTTTGTTTATTGTAAAAGTTTTGTGAAAAATATATTTAATTTTTTAAATTCCGTCTGTTCAATATCTCAGAAATATAGCGCCAACTTGGCATCTTTGTCTCAGCATCCTCGCCACCGTTTGTTGTAACCCTAATCAGTTGAAAATTAGTTGTTGATCTTATAGCATGAGTGTGCTCGTAGCACCAATCATAATAAAAATCTTTAATACAGTCCATTTCATTTGTTATCAAACGAACCAGCATAGAAAACAATCAATTGGTATCGAACACCGTCAAAGGAGGAAACTAGAAAGAAAGAGAAACGAAACCAACGTAAAGTACCTAAGTGTCAGTAACTGATTGAGTTGAAATTAGATAAGTGTTTTAACTAAAAAGTGTTTCCGTAGTTCAAGTATGCTTTTCATTTAATTGGTCTTGGTAAAAGATATTTTAAAATTAGCTTCCAAAATTTTTTCAACTTAATATACTGATATTTTAAGATGATAAAAATAAACAATTTTTCAGCAAACGGTTAAAACGTATTTTCAGAACTGTTTAAAAATAAAAAACACATTTTGATTCTTTCTTAAAGGAATTGAAAGGAAATTTTGTATTTCAAATGATATTCTATGTATTATCCACTTAAATTGCTAGCTAATTTAACCTTACATAGCCAAACATTCTTTAAAAAGACACTCGACGACTCAGCTTTGTGAAACTCTTTTACAGCTTCAAATATTAAAGACATTAAGCCTTATTATTTATTTAATCTATTTTTAAAAAAATGTTTAGGAGTACTTTTCCTTAAACTTTTTAATATGCTTAATAAATAAGTTAAGGAAATTCGAAAATAAGTAAGTTTTTAATTTGAAATCCGGAGTCAAATGTCTAAAGGGATAGGGTACACTCGTGCTTACTTAGAATAAAGTGAAAAAACAACGAAAATAATACGCAAACAAGTACAATAATATCGAGGGAGTTAATCAAATTTCTTGTTTGTGTGGTCTATCGTATATTTTTATTTTATTTTATAACTGTCACCGAACAGCCGACTCAATAAACCGAAGTCTTGCACTTCGACTTAATGAACATGAAAGATATGTCAAAAATCAAGATATTAAACGATCTTCCATCGGTGTACATAGTTGGAATTCTAATCATAGATTTGAGTTTTAATATAAATATTTAACTTTTACAAAATATATATTTTGATTGCTTGTTTACCGAAAATTCTGTTATTCTTCTTAAATATTTTCACAATGTTGCTGAATGTTTATAAATTTTCTTATTTCCATAATAAAAAGAAATATCGAAGCAATTTTCTTATTTTAATTCGCTTTTTACTCTGATTGATTGGCAAGTGACCACTTCCTTGTAAGGGGAAAATGCTTCATCCGCTAAATCAATGTAGTGAAAAATTACTTTTAAAGAATATCGAAAAATTAGGACAAACATGCATAAACTTTTATTTTATGTAAATAGATGTAAAAATGCTAATTTTTTCACAAAAGGGTATGTTTAAAAAAAAAAGAAAGAAAAAAAAGACAGATTTTGAAAAGCAATAAAAATTCTGCTGATACATTTCCGTTACATTAGCTCAAAAATTATAATTTTCTTCTCATTGTAAGAAATTTCGGTGAATAATTGCCATCATTTTTGGTATTGACGTAAACTAATTTTTTTTTCCAGTTCTATGTAACGCAAATACGGGTTAGTTCGTAACCAAGTCCGCCACGAAGGCAAATTTCTCCCGATACTTGATCCAAGAGTTCCCTTGTCTTCTGGACTAGGTTCAAAATTACAAGGCTACGGAGTTGAACACTAGTAGTCGTAAACCCAAAAATTGGGTCGACTGTTTAACGACGGTTTACGAAAAAAAAATATTTGCCAAAATGATCATTGTAATAAATAATAATATTGGTGTTTTTTTATGCTTATTCCTCCAAGAAGTAATTTTGCTATTTTTTTGGATTTTATATTTTAGTACAATTATAATACCTATAATCTACTGTTTTTTATTAACTATTACTCTGTTTTTTATTATTAAAAAAATACTAAAATGTATTTTTGTTTGTAATTAGTGCTTCAGAAAAAAAGTATAAAAAGGAAGACGGTGCACCAAAGGGATAAGAGATTTCCATATCTTTTCTGCAATACAAAACTGATTATTTCAAATTTATATTGCCGTTTGAATACCTTCTCTGCTAGCGTGACATGAGAATGTCTGTTGTTACTAGAGAGGTTATTTTTTTTTTTTTTTAAATAACAACTTTTAAACTTTATCCGTAACACCCGCCTTTTTTAATTACTGTTCTTGGAAATCTTTTCTTACCCAGTAATTGCAGGATATCACAAGATTTATTTTTCTGGTTGAATTGAAAGAAATGTAACCTGTTGCTGTCATTTACGGCCTGGTGTAAATTATTGAAATAAATTATTTGCATGAAATATTTATTAATTTTCATTACTAAAAATGAACATTATTTTTCTACTAGTATAATTTTTATTTTTTTATTTCCTATGATATTTTAAATATTTTAAATGATATATTTTACGAAAGAAACCCCAGGTGGAACTGAAGATAAAAAAAAAAAGTTTCGTATGAATGTTAAAAAGGAAAAAAAAATTACATACATCTTTCTACATATTTGAAAATCGTAAGTAATCGTATATTAAAAAATTGTATCGTATATTACATTGTATTGTATATCTTAGAACTTGTATATTAATTCGTAATCGTTTATTAAAACATCGTAAAAACCGCACTGTTTTGCTTGTTTAATCTATCATTACATTTGTTTTGCTGCGCAAAAACTATAAAACTTAAGAAATCTGTATAGTTTGTTTAAGCTAAGAACTCCTCCCGACAAAAAGTCTGAGGCCGTCTGGTGCTATGAAGACAATAATGGCTCATTTTAGGGAGGGTAGCTTCACTCAGACTAGTACCCTTTTTTTAGTACCCTTTCTTTCGCCGACCCGAGCCGAAACCAGTCCAAAACAGTGACCCTGCACCCCTACTTCAAATAGTCATACCTCGTTACCATAGTCACCGCCATAGGTCCAGACGAATGTCTGGGAGAATTTTTTCTTACTGGTTTAATTAAAATGTCAAGAAACTTATAAAAACCTTTATAGTAGACCTTTCGTAAAGACATTTTAATTCATAAATATAAAATAGTTTAAAAAAATTATCACTAGAAAAGTTTTAGTTTTCAAAGTAAAGTTTAGTCATACCTCGTTGCCATAGTCACCACCACAGGTCCAGACGAATGTCTGGGAGAGTCCTTATTTTAGACAAACTGTAGAGCCAGTACAATGGAATAAAAAAAAAATTACATTCGATAATTAGTTGCAAAATAATTAATTATTTAACCAGTAGGAAAAAATATCAATCGGGGGCTCTAGAGGCCGCATAAATTTTGACACGTTGACAGGGCCATCTTTGTTCATAAACTTAACACTAGAATTTTTATTTATTTATTTTTTTTTGAATTTGCTATTTTATTTTACGCTACATTTTGTTTTACGGCCCAAAATCTATCAGACTTAAAAACTTGAAATTAAACTTGAATAACGTCTGTTGAAAAATTTACAAGGAGTAAAATAAAAAAAATTAAGAATCGATAATTAGATCGAAAGTTATAATTTGTTAAATTTGTAATGAAAAAAAACTTCAATTTGCTCCAAAGATATTGCAATTTTATGTCAACTTCCAGTAAATTTTTTCTCACTTTTTTTTTGCTTTAAATAATGATTATTGATCCTTTGTTGTCGAATTCTCTCTCTCTCTCTCTCTCTCAAGATCTTCATTTTATAATTTCGCCCTCGAATTGTTGTCAGAAGTAACAAAAAATGAATAAATGGAATGAAAAATAAAAGAATGAAGTTAGATTTTGCCAGATGTAATTCTTAATATCTTTTTCGAAATTTTTTAAAACGTAAAAAATTTCGAGTTAAATTAAAACAGTTTCCAAATTGTACTGCATATATAAGTTAAAAATATCGAGAAAGCATGGAAAATAATAAAAATAAAGATTAATAAAAAGAGAAGAAAAAAATATTTTTAAAAATTATTTAAAAATTTTTTAAAAAAAAATGTAAATTAAAAAGCTGGAAAACAAAAAAAGTGAAAAGATATAATCTCTACATCAGCTCACTCGTAATATTTTTAAAATTTTTAAAAAAATTATTTTAATAGTTTTTCTTCTTCTCTTTTCATTAATCATTATTATTTTCCATTTTTTCTCTATTTATTAACTTATTTTATGAGTTCTATATGTTTGCAGCTTATACGCAGTAAATAAAACTTATTAATTTTTTTCGTTTTTCTCTTTTTTTCCTTTTTGTCTTTATTGTGCGATATATATCTCTGTTTTTTTTCTGATTTTTATGGCCATTTTTTTTCTTCTTTTTTGCGGTTTACATAGAGATATTAATCCGTATGCCATATAGATTCTAAGGGTTTAGAATGATTGAAATTCAATATGATACGTACATTTTTGTTCATAGTTTTCATTAAAGGAAGGAAAAAAATCAAATATTCATATTCTTTTTTTTTTTAGCATTTTTAATTTTTTTCTGTAGTAAAAGTAGTCTTAAAGTAATGAGAAGTCTTAAAGTTAATAACGGGGTCCAAGTTTTTGGAAATATATATAGAATTTTTATCCTCCATGAGGAAATGTGTCTTCGTTGGCTGGAAAACCTTTCTTCCACATGCTCAGCTACAAAGCAGGGAAAAAAATGAGCAGGGGTTTACTTTGTCTTTTTTCCAGTTTTCTCATAAAGAAGCTAACCAACCCGGGGAAAAATCTTCCTTGACGTCATTGGCTTATCGACGTTGCTTAGCAACCAGCTCTCATAACATCCTGCTGTTCCAAAAGCGCCAAGCAAAGCCAGAGAAAAGAATTAAATAAATTTTTCATCCGAAAAATGTATTACGCATGAAACTGAGTTTTAATTCAACTGTCCATTTGGAATTCTACTTCTTATTCGGTTTTTTCGTGCATTAATTCTGATAAAAACATTTGCAGTTTCTTAAATTAAAGTAAAAATGTCTGTAAAAAGTTGTTTGTTGTTTTGTTATACGGGAGGACCCAGTTGAAGTTGGCGACTCAAATGCATATACCATGCCAGCGGAAAAAGAAAGCAAGTTCTTCTCTGTTTATTTGTTTTGGATTCGGGAAACGTCAATTTTTCTATCAGCACGTGCCTGTTTAGAATGTATTAGCTAATCATTAATTTATCGTGCTTTTGTGTTTTAAGAGTAAATAATGATTGTTTGTTTACCGCATTTGTCAAGAAAAGTCGGTTCAACTTTTATTCACTAATTGAGGTGTTCATACTTATTGAAAAAAATGATTGCATTTGGTTTGTATAAACAAATACTCTATATTTCTTTTGTCTTTAAAATATGTGTGTTTCAAATACTTAACACTTACATTGCACTAAGTTGTTATTTCAATTATTCATATTCAATGCATAAATTGCTTAACAACTAAAAGTGTTTTTGCATAGGTTATCTTACTTTGGTTTTGAACGTTTTTAATATAGTTACTGCTACAGAAATTATTTAAAAAGAAAAAAAGCATTACAATGCTAATAAGTATTTTAGTAATGTTATGCTTATTTTTCTTTTTTTCTTTAATAGAAATTTAAAGAAAGATTAATATTTTCCTGTGTGATTAAAAATCAATTATAATGTTACTGGTGGTAATTCTAATCTTAGTATTTTTTGCAAATTAGGAATAACACAGCATATAATTTATTACAAAACTTTTGTACTATGACTTTAGTAAAACTGTTTAATTAATTAGGTATATCTTTTTTTATTATTACACTGTTTGATTTAATGTGCATATAAAGTAAAATTTATCAATAAGACTGTAGTTGTTAAGGAAATGTGTGAGGATAACAATTATAATATATATATATTTTTCATACTATAATATCTGGTATTTCTTCGTATACTGACTGTGTAATTGTTTATCAATAAAACATAATTTTTTGCTCTTTTAATAATTACTTTATTTATAATATTTAGATAATTTTTAATGTAATATTTTGTTAGTTTTTACTTTCTTTGTTTTCCTCATTTATTTATTTGTTTGGTCTCAGCATTTTAATCTGTATGTTGAATCCATTTACTAATATTATTTTTTTTCACTTAATTTTAATAAATTTTTAAAAGTAAGAAATATCTTCAATTATTATGGGATAATGAACCTAATTAGTTTTAGCGTATGATAGATGACAATTAAATTTTTTTTATATGTACCTTAACATGAATCATGCATTCCTGAGGTTCGATATTTTTTTTGCTCAAGTTTTGTCTACCATATTAATTTTTTGGACCACTAACTGAATACCTAAGTGATTGTATTGGACCGTTAAATTTCAGTTGCTGGTGGGATCCCAAATGGAACTCGCATGTTTTACAAAATTATTTATTTTATAGATATTTTTATAATTACTCTGGATTTAAAGATAAATTTTGCGTTAACTGTTACATTTTTGTTTTGAAAGGCTGAATTTTTTAAAAATGTTTTTAGGATTTATTAGTGGCAGTTTAGAAATTAACAATCTATTTTTTTTCTCCAATAGAAAAAAACTATGTATCATGGCCAAATGATTCCAGCCATTTAAATAATAATGTGATGTTGCTAGAAGAGGAACGGCCTATAATTCCTGGCGTTTCTGTAAAGGCTGCTTCGTTTGATGCATTAGTTTGTTTACTGATTGATTCTTTTTGTAAGTATTTCTTTCTTCAGCTTTTTTTAATTTTCTAAGTATTATAAAATTCTAATTTTCTAAGTATTCTAATTTTGTTAGTATTCTAAAATTCTAATTTTCTAAGTATTCTAAAATTCTAATTTTCTAAGTATTCTAATTTTGTTAGTATTCTAAAATTCTAATTTTCTACTTATTATAAAATTCTAATTTTCGAAATATTATAAAATTCTAATTTTCGAAGTATTATAAAATTCTAATTTTCAAAGTTTTCTAATTCTCTAAGCATTATAAAATTCTAATTTTCGAAGTATTCTTAAACTAAAAGTATTCTCGGAGCAGTTCATTGTGAGCCAGAGTGGAGGATTGGAGTAAAAAACGAATTTGCAACTTTTGGAATCTGGAAAAAATGTTTTTCCGGATATTAAGTAAAAATTCATGTGTTTTTTTAAAAATAATATATAATTATGAAACTTTACATTGATATATTTTATTAATAATTTATCTTTTAATTCCAAGACCAAGTTATTTAGCTAATTGCTAAATTAATCAGAAACATAATGGAAATGAATTTAATCTGTAATTTGTTTTGGTTTTCTTGTTTATAAATATTTACTAAAGAATCGTTTGAGGATATTTTTACAATTGCGACCGTACCTGTGATATACTTATATTTTTCTTATAATGGATTTGCACAATTTCAATATTTTCCATAAATATTTCTACTAAAATTTATTTCTTTATCTTATGTTATAATATAAATTGTAATTTAAAATAAAATACCCTTAATTCTCATTATACATAGAAGATAGTGATATATAACTTTAAATTAACATTAACTGTGAAATAATGCAAGTTATACTCGATAAGGATCTGATGAAAATTTTAATAGTCAGACTTTCAGAAAAATCAAGAGTCAGAGTTCAATATTTCCACTACCAACTCCGGTTCTGCTTTATTCTAACTAATATCCTATTCTTTATTTGATTAACTAGATAAACTGAATAAGTATAACAGTTATTTCATGTTGTAAATTTTATTCTTACAGTACCGTCAGGAGGGTTAAAGGAAGAGAACAGCAATTTTCCCAGAGTCATACTGCTTATGCACCAGTGGTTTACTTCCTCTGAAAATTTAGCTCATTGTCTCATTACCAGATATCCTTTTTTAAGATATTCATATTTTTATTTTGATATTATTAGATGCCTATATTTATTTTGATGTTTGTAAATTGATCATTAAACAAAATTAATTAATTAATCATTGAACTAAAAAAGTTAATCGAAATACAAATTTAGCATTACAGTTTGTATTGTATAAAAACTTAGATTCTTTCAACTATTTTTTTAATAGTTTTACTTTTTTTTTCATTTACTTATTTTGCAAACTTCACGTAATACTTTAGTTCAATAGAGTATTAAAATCATTCTTACTAGTTTTTATATTGGTTGATATTAATACTAATGAAATAATTTAATGTATGGAGGAATATTATATTTCCAGAAAAATATATTAAAAATACTTAGTAACCCTTATAACAAGAAAATTTAATTTTTAAGTATGAGTTTGTTAGGAATTTCTTAGATTACTGTTGAAATGTAAATTGGTATCTAAATTCTGTTTTATTTATACTCTCCATCCTTTCAAATAAATAAGATGTTACAGGGTTATTTATCACAACTGTAAGAGCTGATACAACTTTTAAAACAAACAATTTTAGCCCTCTAATTCCAAGTCGTTAAGCAAAGTAATGAATTAATGGCTCAGCATAAAAGACAAATTATAAGAGATAATGAATATTTATTATTAAAAACTTAACAACAAATGTTCATATAAGTAACCACCAGCTGTGGTACTGGCTTCAAAAGAGAACCACAGAAACCTTCGACAGTTAGCCTGACGGCAAGGGGATTCTAACCCATGATCTGTCTACGACTGAAGATATTTTACGTGAGCACTGTCGGTGCAAGCCGGATGCGGATAATTGCTTACTGTTTGCTTTTAGATCCTGCATTAAATGCTGAAAATTTTTTGTTTTAGCAAGTTATGCAGTTTAAGTTATGTTGACAAGCTCTGTGATGTTAAAGGTGTAACAAAAATAATGGTCAAGACTGTTACTTTTGTTACACCTTTAGTCTTACATTTTCAACTTTGTTAAATTAATATAATATGTACAATTTCCTATTTTTATGCCTTAACTTATTTATACGTTTTGGGATTATGAAACTGTACCTGACTGTCACTCAGCATGTATTCACAATTATCAAAAAGTCACAGAGTGTACTATATACCAATATCGAGCTCGCATTTGTCAAACATTCAGGTAAAAACTAAATATTATTCATTTACATAATCATTTAAAATTCATGTAAAACAAAATCTTTTTATGTTATTTCTTTATTACCTCAATTTATTATTTAAAATTAAACTCATTCTCACATTTTATTATTCACATCTGACACTTAAGTTCTAAATTTAGATTAAACTATTTTAGTATGAATGTTTTTAATTTTTTCCACAACCAAGAGTGAGAGCTGGAAAAATCCCTTGGCCTAATTTTTGAACAAGTTACAAGAAATAATTCCCTTTTTGCATGTGACTTACGAGACCTCCGGGATCAGTTGGCAAGATTTTCCCTAACATTTAGGCGGAGGTACTTTAATTTTGTGTCACTTGTATGCTTTCTTTCCTCACCATAATGTCTTAATAAAGAGCATCTTCTGTCCACCATGTTTGACTTCTTGCGTTCCCAGAACTCGCCTATGAATACCATGTTCTTAACATATATATAGGATATACAGTGTCCTCCCTAAGCGTTTTTAGAATTGCAGCCCACCCGTTCTTCTTTTTGATGCACCCTCTTGCCCTCTTTGTAAAACCACCATCCCTTAAAAACAGGGCGTTTTTATTCATATTCCATTGAAAAAATATTGATTCACTGTTTAAATAACAATTGCATAGTGGTAAAATTATCTGTTTCTGTAGATTTAATTCTGATTGCTATAACAAATATTTATTTTAGGATTATTCTCAACTGGTTTAGTTAATAAAAGTTTCTTTTTTTGTATTAATTCATTTTTTGAGTGATTTTAAATTTTAAAATTGTTTTTCAAATAAGTACTTTCTTTCTTTTTTTCTTTTTAAAATGCACTTTTAAATGTTTATTTTCTCCTAAAAATCAGTTTACCATTGATCGTTTTAGTTTTTTTTTTGGAAAAAAAAATTATACACAGTGATTGTCTATTAGCATGCTTTTAGTTATTTTTTTATAAACTGCAAAAATTTCTCTAATTTTGATAATTAGTGAGAATAACTTTTCTAAAATACACACATAAGAACATAATTTAAAATTGTTGAGGATCAAATTCAGCTTTCACATAAAAATAAGTGCCTTTTTCTGTGTAGAAGCACCCTACCCTTTTTTATTCCCAGGGAGAACTCTGATATGTATTATGCATGATAACAAAAAGATATAAATAATAAAAATAAATGTAATAAAAAGTGCTGGAAAGAAAAAAGTGGACCGCACACTAACAATAATAACTATGTTTTTAAATATAAAACCAAATTTTTTTTAATCCATAGTCAATTAAAAACTAAATTCTATCCTACTTCATGTTCACATGTACCACCACATTAACTTTTTTCATTCTAAGGTATTTATTATTGATGTTGGCTGCTGATGAGCCACAACATTTTTTATTACATATTTATTATTTATATCTTTTTGTTAATGTATAATATATATTCTAATTTTCGTTGGCAGCTTTACATGTGTTTAAAAATATATATATAAACTTAAAGAAAGATTGTTTTTTATTATTAGGTATTGGATACGCATGTTTCCCATTCATTTTGATCTTAATTCCTCATTGACATCCATTGTACAAGAATTTCAAAGTCATCTCTACAATCAAAGTTTTTGTGTACTAGCTGATCATCTGGATCTTTCTAAATTGTAAGTAGTTCTTGCTCCTTTCCTAATTCAACCATTTATTGATAAAAATTAAACACTTGGTTGCTAAGCTTGTTATTGTCTGATATAATTTTAAAATATAACTTAGCGCATATTCTTTGTATCTCAATTTGGAACTTGAACTCTTTATGAAGAAATTATTGTTTGAGTCATTAATTTTTTTTATTCATTGACTAAGAATTTATTATTTATCAAGTATATCATTTTTAAAATATGCTTGGAATTTTCCGTGTTATTTTCCAAAAAATAAATTCAGATTATAATATTTTATGTGTTTCCTTTTAATCTTATACCTCTTTAAAATATTATTCCTCAACAAGTATTAAATCTTCAAGAATCTGTGAAGCTAAAAACATCAGAAACTTTAAACGCCTAACCGTGGTAGGTTTTCGTGGTTTTCCACTCCATGCAATGCAAATATGGGTTAGTTCCATCAAAAAGTCCTCCACAAATTCAAATTTTTTTCTATACTTGATCTAAAAGTTCCAATGTGCTTTGGATTGGGTTCAAAATTGCAAGGTTACGGAGTTGAACATTAGTAGCCGTAAACCCGAAAAAATAGGGTCGGTTGTTTAACAACGGTTATAAAATAAAAGCTAGTATAATAGCTAGATATAATAGCTAGCTATTGCTAATATAAAAGCTAGCTATAATAGCTTTGCGCTATGTTTAAATGTTGCTTTTATTCAATATGAGTGATTATCAAATGTATTTTGTTTTGTGTAGGCCATCATATGATTGGGCGAGGAGCATGTCAGTTCGCAACCCTCCTGCGAAGCATACAAGAAAAATTTCATTAGTCTTTGATCATTTGGAACCCAGTGAACTTGCTGAGCATATTACTTTTCTGGAACATAAAGTTATGCGTAGAATTACAGTAAGATATTTCCTTACACCCTTTCTAAAAGAAAGATTTAATTTACATGTTGCTGTCCTATTATTTACATGTTTCTTTTAGAACATTTAGTTTTTTAAGTATCTAAATAAACTTATTTTGTATGTTCTAATTCTCTTATACATTTGTTTTTATAAAATGGTATGATTGCAACATTTTTAATAAAGCCTATTTTCTCGTAATATATCTGGATAACCTTTTTTCTATGTAATATGCTTTAAAGATAATTTTAACAAATTGCAAAACTTATAAAAGTTTTGTTGTAATGTATTTATAATCCATAAAGTAAGTTGTTATATTATATTTTTAGAAAAATAGTGTTGATTTAACAAAAACACTATTTTTCTAAATTATTTTATTAATTTAATTTTTATTTTGAAGTTTTTTTCTCATAAAAGATAAATTGTGTTACATGTTTATATCAAGTATTGTTGTTCCGTGATAGTTTTTAAGTTTTGTGAAATTAGAATAGTAATTTTCATGATAGAGAATGCATCCACAGACTTTGCTGTCTCCTATGTTTTAGTTTAAAAAAACGATCGCTTAAATGTAATTTTTTTTTTGCAGGTTTTTAGAATAAACATTTTTGTTTATCATGAATAAACATTAAACATTTATTTTGTAATCAATTGATTAAAAGAAAATTTTTTATTTAAATAAATTTTTTTTTTTAGTTATTTCAAGTGTTCATTTTTTAATAGTTTAATATTATTTCTATGTTCTAAATTTAAAACTTGATTAATATCTTTTCATTTACACAAGTTAAAATTGTTTATTTTCTATTGAATTAGTTTTCAGATTTCAAAGCTTATGCTGAATGTGGAACCCCCCAGGATAATCCTAAACTTGAACGATCTATATCTCTATTTAATGGTCTTTCACAGTGGATTCAGTGGATGGTCTTAAGCAAGTCATTCCCACAGCAAAGAGCTGATGTTATTGTTAAGTTTGTGCAAGTTGCTCAGGTAAGAGCAATAAATGTAAAAGCTTTTTATCGAAGCTGAATTTAAATCTGAGATAAAATACAAATTAGTATTTTTTATTTCAAGTGTACTCTATTTTAGTTTGATCAATTAAAAATAGCATTTTTTGATTTCTGAATTATCATTCATAGTGCTAATGGAGTTTATTATCAAATTGTTCAGAAAAATTGCAAACTTTTAAATGAAAATATTCATATTTTTTGCGATTCCTGCTAGTCACATCAAAAAAAGTTTGCAATTTTTAATGAAGCATACTTATTAAATTTATCAATTGATTTTGATTCAAGTGATGCAAACTTTTATAAATGTATACATGTTTGTTACAAACATTATTACTATCATAAGGAAATTTTTTTTTCAAAAAACTTTTTTCTATCTATTTTAAAGTAAACCTATTAACTTATAGTTTATCTGAATATTTAATAAAATAAAAAAAAAAGACTTATCAAAAAAATCTGATAAGCTAAATAGATAATAAATAAATAAAAATGTCTATTTAAAAGCAATATTTCTGATTATTTATGTTAAGCTTTTATATTTATCTGTTCCGTAATTTTTTTTTTATAAGGGTCTGCTAAGAAGTTTTTACACATAATTAAATTAGAAGTTTTAATGAAAGTTCGTGTGCATTAAGTTACTTTGGAAAATTTCATATCCCAATTCAGATTTATTTCTTTTTATTTTGTTGCATGAAATATTTAAGTATTAATTAAAAATAATTTCAATTTCATTTTAATTTTAAATGCATGATTTTTTTTTTACAAATTTTTTCTGGACAATTCCACTTGTTTTAACTTTGCGGATTTGATCAGTTGAATTTAAAATCATATTTGTTAATTTAATTTACAAAATTTTTGTAGTTTATCTTTTTTTTTTGGCTGCAAATAAACTAGATTTATTTGTTTAAATATTTAAATTCTACCTAAAGTCATTGGTTTTTACCTTAAAACCTTATTTAATTATAATTTCCTTCCAACTTACATGTTAATTTTAAACTGCAATTTTATTTTGAAAGGTTTTTACTATTGCATAAACTCATGTCTGATTGTTTTATTGCTGAAATTTATTTGTGTCTCTATTTTCAGAAACTGTTACAACAAAATAACTTTAACTCTCTAATGTCAGTTGTTGGGGGCTTGAGTCACAGTGCTTTAGCTAGATTAACAAATACGATGGCATGCGTACCAGCTGAAACAAAGAAAACCCTCTCAGAACTTGGTGAGCTGTTAGCTTCTGCATCTAACTTCAGCAGCTATAGGAAAGCTTTGATGGAAGCAAAGGGATTCAAAATACCTATCCTGTAAGGAATTATTATCCTTTTCAAGTAAAATATACAAAAAATTTGATATTTTTGACTAAGCAATTTGGCAATTTCAAATCCTTGGGAAAATTGGCAATTTTAGCAAAAATTTTGATTTTTTTTATTATCTATACTTGAATTTTAGTTAAGTTGTTTTTCAAAGTCACTGAAATTCTTGATCTTTGATTTTTAGAAATGATGTTAATGTTTTTTCGTATGCTTGCAGACTAAAACTGAAGTTGGAAGTAGACTTTTGAATGAAACTTGTAAAAAATGAAATTGAAATGTTTTTTGTTATGCTTTGAGTATTTTAAACTTTGTTTATTTGAATAAATTATGTTTTTAAGATAAATAAAATTCAAAAATTTTAAGATAAAGAAAGAAAATGGCTACGGCATTTTCAATAATACTTTAAAGGTACGCCTTTAATCCTGCCAATTTATTGATAAATTTGTTTGAATTTTAACTGGTCAACTTTAAATATATATATTCAAACACAACTCAATATTTAGTGGAACTGAATTTTATAGTTTTTCTTTTTAATTAAGCCTTTAGATAAATGTGCTTTTTAAGTTTTTATTTCATTTTTGAAATTTTTTGCTTGGCAAAATAAAAAATTATTATTGGAAAATTGTATTACTAAATTTTGGAGTAGATATATGAAGATCAAAGAAGGAAAAACTGCTTATGTCCACAGTAGCTGATTTGAAAAAAAAAAGAAAAAGTAATTGCAAGATTTGAGATTTATTAAGAGCAAGTATCCTGTTGAAATCGTGGAAATAAAAATACATTTGGATGTTACAAATGTTTTATAACATCCTCTAAAATCTTCAAAACAAAATTAACTTTTTTTGATATTGAAAAATAAAATAAAATTTTAAAATAAAGTTGAGCAAGAACAGTCTTTTCCTCAAAATACCTCCCCAATTAATGCTTCTTACTAGTCTTCTTCATTAAACTCTTCCTTGTTCTTCTTATTTATGCTCGTACAGGAATCGTTTTTCCTCAGCACAGCCCTTCTTTACTGTGTAATAACTCTTGTAGAGAAACTATTTTCCATGTTATTAATTTTTCAAATTTTAGCAATCCTCTAAATGCAACAGAAGGCAATCCAGTCATCATTTCTAGGAGAAATAGATGTAAACCGTTCTTCTTCTTGCTCTTCATATAGGTTTTTAGATAGGGGGGGGGAGGGCTTGACTGAATATATTTGTTGCATTTTAAAAAAGTTATAAACTTACTGTATCATTGCTGTGAAAAATATGTCGATAAATTAAAATTTTTAATGTTTTTGTTTCCTGTTTTATTTAGTGGTGTTCATATGAAAGATTTAATATCCTTGCATGTTGCACTCCCTGATACCATTGAAAATGGCCTCATTAATTTTCGTAAAATTGCACAGTTATCATTAATATTCCAAGAGCTCTGGGAACTCCAGAACTCAGTACCCAATCTTGCTGTGAATTCTGACTTGGTCAACACTTTACGGGTATGTGAGCAAAATTCTCTTTTAGTAATTTTAAATAAAAAGAAGTAAATGTGTAACTAAAGCTGTTTAACCTTATTTGCAGTTGTCGCTTGACACCCCTTACACCGAAGATGAACTTTATGAGTTATCTTTGACTAAAGAGCCCAGAAATTGTTCATCTGTAAGTTGATTATATTTTCTTACATTTTTTTGATTAAATATTAAGATGTGCCAAACTTGTTAATAGATCACCATTAACCTCATTTTTACAGTTGCATTCAGATTCTATATCATTGTTTTCTTACTTTGACAGACTAAGGTGACACTTTTGTCTAAATAATTTAGAGTGGACCAATTAAATCCGTTTGTGTCTATGTGCTAATAACTAAGACTTGAGAGAAAAAATTAATAACTTTTAAAAATCTTTTGCTTTATTATAAGTAGCAGATATGTTATTAAAACTGTCTAAACTGCTATATGGTGTTACAAACAGTGTTAACTCCATGCACTGCAGAGTATGGCTTTGTGCGCTAAAGTACCTCAACTGAAAGATCTCCTTACCCCTATACTATTCTGAAAATTTTATGAATAAAGGTAATCACGTCATTCACTTTGAAGCCTTATTGTTATTAAAGTTTTAAAAATCTCATGTAAAAGTTCATACTAATGGTTATTTTAAAATTTAAAAATGTTTTGAAAAATTTGACTTTTATAAGGTATTAAAAGTTTTTTCATCATATGAAGTTGCTTAATCTATTGATCCAAAAGCAAATCCAATTTAATATATTTAACTAAATGGACGTCAATATTTTAAACTCTTTTTAAAAAATATTTACATCATAAAAATATGAAATACTCTTTTTGTTTTGGCACATAGTCTTTTAAAGAAATCTTATTGTGCCCATGGGTAAAATTAAATTGCATATAAATTGGAAAGAAACATACCAGAGAGTCACAAATATGCATATCTCACTTCACCTTTTTGCATGTGAAGAAACTTATATCTTTTATATTTTAAATAGCTTTGTTTGTAGTACAACAGCTGAAAAAAAACTTCATTATATTTTCCAAATATTTCCACTAATTATACTGTTTTGTAGTAAGCAATATAAATTAATTCACTTATGATTATTGTTTATTAGTGTTTATATTGTTCAATTGCTATGTTTTTCAATTTATATATTTTTATTATAAAATTTGAAAAAACCTAAGCCTCTACGTTTAATACAAAGTCAATTGCCTCATTATCAATTTTTATTCTAGCCTCAATCTTCTCCAACAAAGCTAACAGCTTTTTCTGACTGGGCCTCTGGTATAGGTGGTCCAGCTGATTCAGAAACTGTAGAAAAATTTTACCTTTCAATTGTAGATGTAAGTATAATTTTGTATTCCACATAGCAAAATTATTGATTTCTGAACTGTTATTCTGAATCTGTAAGATTTGCAAAATTTAAAATATAATAAATATTAATATTAATAACTATTATTGCAGATAAATATTGCTGCATATATTATATACACACTTACACAATTGAATCATGATAATATCATGAAGAAAACTAAATATAAACTTTGCTATATTGCTGTAAAAAAAACTTGTTTTAGTCTCATGTAATTATTCTGAAATACATTTAAACTTCTCGAGAGTGACCACTCTCTGTTCCATAGTAAAATGATCATTAATGGAGGTTTGTCTTTCTTAGGAGTCACCTTTATTGACCTCTAAATATTGGAGGTATGTGATTTTTCGAAGAAAAAATAAGCAAGCAATTTTAATCTTACTCTCTGTCATTTTCCTTGTGCAAAAGTGCCACTTATGTTGGCCTTATGAAAACTGGTTCGATGAATAAAACTTAGAATCAATAAAAATGACCCAAGAGCTTTCTAAATAAGAGTTCCAATATGATATTGTCTATGCATATTTTTTTTAACAGTTTAGGTACTTTTTGCTGCAAGAGAATTTGTTCTAATCTGTTGTAACTTTTAAAATACAAGTATTGTTATATTCTGTAAATTTATTTTAGTTTAATATAATAGTTTAATTATTTTATTTTAGTTTATATATGGTATTTTCTTTACTTACTATAATTTATATGTTATACCACATATAAAGAATTTTGAGCTGTGAATTTTTTCTGTGACATTCAACTCTAATGCATGTAATTTATTTCTACAAGTAATTTCTTTTTTTAAAACAGTTTTTTTTTAGTCTCAACACCAAATAAAATGTCTTAGTTTAAATAAGTTTTAATAAAATTACTAATATTTTAAAAACATTTAAAAAGTTTTTGGTCTCTTAGAATCAATAAAAATGACCCCTAATTATGCGTAAAAACAAATTTACCAATTATAAATGATGGAATTATTTTATTATGTAACAATTATGTTTTTTGTTTAAGTTTGCATTTTATTTTATTTTATAAAAATTAGTTAGCTTCATAAAGGGAGAAGTGGATTGCTTGCTTGAGATGCTTAGCTTTTTCTAAAATAACTTTCTTTTTCTAATTTAAATTTCAACTCTAAAAATAAATCATTGATAGCATTGTTTTTAATGTACTCTGACTGCAACATTAGAGCTTTTTTAAATAAGAATCACTCACAAATATTTTAAATACATTTGAATCTACTTATTTGTTTTGTTAATATTTTTTGTTTTGATATTTTTTCATGTTTCTATATTTGACCTTTTCCGCATTTTGAGCAGAGCTTTTTCCGGTCTCTAGGAGAGGTTTTGATGATCTTTCCTAAAGGTTAAAGGTTTTCTTCAATACTAAATCTATGGAAAAAATTCTGTGCCCCCAAAAGTGGTCGTAAATAGAGGAGGTTGCTACACAAAGGTGATCTTTTCTGGAGGTTTCACTGTATAATTGTTTTGCCCAAATAATAAGTTCAAGTGTTTTGGGGTCTAAGACATTTGATACTATGAAGTGCTTAGTTAGTTTTTAACTCCATCAGGGTGCATAGCGTTTGTAAAAAGTACTTAAAGGTGCTTTTTGGGAGATTTCGTTTAAAAGCTTTTAAAGGTGCTTTTTTCAGCTAGCGTTTTTAAAAAGTGCTTTTTTTCACGAATAATTTTTTTTCTCCCTTCAGTGATATCTGGTGGATCCCATCCATGCATTTCACGAAAAATTGAGTGTTTGCTACGTAATCATTCACGCGGGCTTCATGTCGTACCCACGTTATGACTTGCGCATGCATGCACACTTGAAACCGAAACCCGAGTGCTCCAATTCGGATGGAGAATATCAGATTTTTATGAAATGTTTTTCTTTTTAATTTATTTTAATTTTATTATTGTTTATTTTATTTTACTTCTAACACTTTTTTGACGTAGGGGGTACGGGTACTTTTGTTCTGAGTTCAGGGTCAACTTGAATTTACTCGATGATGTGGGAAAGTAATGATTGTTTCGATTTACGTCTGTTTCTTTTTGGTTTTTTTTAAAGCTAAAACTGTTCATAAAAAGTTTTTGTTTTTCAATGATATCACTGATTGAATATGAATTTTTTGAGTGCTTGAAAATTTTTGTAAAGTGCTTGAAAAGTTTTTAAAAAGTGCTTATTTTTGATTCAAAGATTTGGCTACGCACCCTGTCCATATATATCTTGATTAACTCCAATTTTTTGAGTTTCTTAAATTTAGGTTTCATAACATTTGTTTCAGTCTTTGTTTTTTATATTTATAAATTTCTAAATAATGATAGTTGACACCTCTAAAAGGCAGTTCTTTTAATCAAAAGTTTATATTATGAAGGAAATTTTAAACAATATAGTTTACATTATATTTTCTGCTTTTTGTTTCAATTTCAGTATTAAATAACTTTGTATAGTGAATAGCTCATATATTTCATGGCACAAATTCATTAATATGTATAGTAATATATTTTTTTCTGATCTAATATAATGAAAATCTTAAATTTTTAGGTGATAATGAAAACTTATGATTTAGATGGAGATGGTTTTCTTTCTCCAGAAGAATATGAAGCTGTATATATAAACTTTCCTTACATAGATCCTTTCTCAATAATTGATTCTGAAAAGTAAGTGCTTTCAAATCTTTTGTTTTATGTTCGTGTAATTATAGTTCATTATTTTAAAATAAGAAGTTAGAAATGGGAAAATGATTAAGCATACCCATGCTGGTTTTGTTCATATTGGTCCAATATAAAATTGTTCAAATTCCTAATATGGGATGATAGTGTATCATTATGACTAAGTCTTATGAAGCAAGATGGTTTTTGATGGATGCTTATGATGGTAACCATCTTGTTCATGTTGGTTCATCATGGAAAAACCATCAAAAAATTTATCTTGGGTAGGGAAAAGTGTTGTAACTTAGGACATAGACAGTTTTTTTATAACCTAATGGTAACTTTAATTTCTAAAAATTGACCTTAATCAATGGATGACATCATAGCAAAAGTTAGCATCCAAAGAATTGAGTTAATTTTTAGGGAGTGAAAGTAAATATTTTTTTCATGCATATTTTATTTCCTGAATAAAGAGTTATGATACTATTCAAATCAATTTCAATTGGTTATAAAATAAAATTTGCTCAAAATGTTATAGTTATAAGAAAATATTTATATTTGTCAAGATTTTAATTTCTCTTAAACCCTATAGTGATTGTACATTGGAGCATGTTCCAATATAATACTGTCTATGAATATTTATTTTAATTGTTTAGTTCTGGTACTTTTTGCCACAAGGGAATTTGTTCTAATCTACTGCAATTTTTAAAATACAAGTATTGTTATATTCTGTAAATATATTTTAGTTTAATATAATATTTTAATTTTTTTTTTTCAGTTTATATTTGGTATTTACTTTAATTATTTACTATAATTCATATGTCATGCCACATATTATGAATTTTGAGTTGTGAACTTTTTCTGTGACATTCAACTGATTCATGTAATTTAGTTCAATAAGTAAATTTTTTTTATAAAAAAGTTTTTTTAGTCTCAATACCAAATCAAATTTCTTAGTTTAAATTTTTTTTAATAAAGTTACTAATATTTTAAAAACATTTATAAAAAGTTTTTGGTCTCTTTATTCCACTCCTAAGAATTCTACTTGCGTTATTGAATTCGGAATATAACTTTAAGAGAATGTGGGGTTAATATTTACCATTCTTGTAGTAATAAATTCTATACGAAATTATGTATCCTGCCTGCTCATGTATACAGAGCCGGATTAAGTGTATGCGGGGCCCTAGGCCACTCAAATTTTTGGGGCCCTTAGATTTAATTTTTTCTCTCGTATATTTTTTATTTATTCAAATATAAAAGTATTTATATATCTTTTCATTTAAGAAAGCATATTTAAAATAATAATAAATTAAATTTTACTTTATTTTGTTAAATTAGAACTAAAAAATAATCATAACATTTTATAATCATAACATATATATTTGCAATTGATTTTTTTTTTAAAAAAATCATTGTTTTTCTTAATTTTTTGAAATTTATTTTCAAAAAATCCACTTTAGGAGGGCCCCTAATCATTGGGGCCCCAGGCCATGGCCTAGTCTGGCCTAATGAGTAATCCGGCACTGCATGTATACCCCATTCATAACGATTCTGCATTGAGTTTGTATATTAAATTTGAACTAAGAACTTCAATTTCATGTGTAGTTTATTTGCAAACTGTATTTTCTTAATTTAGTGCATTTAAAAATGTTTGTTGGCATAAAATTTTTTAAAATAAAACTAACCCAAGATACAACACCTTGTTGCCGTCCTTAGATAAAACATACTTATGAAACTTAGATAAAGACATGTGTTTTGGGACAGTTCCTAAGATATATATTTTTTATCATTGAAAAATTTTTATTTTTGTATTTTTAAAAGTTGTTTTTAGATTGTAAATCTGACTAGCTTTTAAAGATAAGACTCAAAATGAGAAAAGTGTCTCAAGTTGCAAAAATCTCCCTTAATACAATTTGTTATTTTTTAGACTTTGATACAAATTTAATTTTTTTTCCTTATTGGAAAACTGTGACAGAATTTACCTGCCACAAGTTATATAGAATGAATTCTTTTTCTTTATTTTGCAAATTGAAACTAAACAAACTGAATTATAATCTGCAATATTATGTATAACAAAAGTAAAAAAGTTATAAAAAAGTAGATTTAAATAATATTTAAGATGAACAAGATGTAAAAGACGTTCCAGTTTTCAAACTGTTAATAAATTTTTTTATTTTGTAAGAATGAATATGCACTTAATAGCTTTAATTGTTCAAGTTTTTCAATCTCAAATATAATTGCCACCATAGTTACAATGCTATCTTACTTAGTCTTTTTTTTCTTAATCCATTGTGTTGTGTTTTCTACTATTATTTTTTAAAAACTATTTTAAAATTCTTTTTTTATTTCTGAAAGTATTTATTGTAGGAATGTCTACTTATATAAAAATTAATAAAAATTAAGTGATTTTTTTATTTATTTAAAAGTATTTGTTTGCTTATAAGTTGAAGAATAAAATATTTTATTTACTTTATATCCATTCATTTTTTGAAAAATATGTTTTACTTATTTTAATTTTTTAACAATCTAATTACATATTATAACATTCATTTAGATAATCTGTTTAAGTTTTAAAATATTTAAAAAAATTGCTTTAAATTAATAATTATATTTTTTGCTGATTTGTTTAGAATCAATATTTTACAACTATGCTTAAGAAATATGTTCAATTTTTGTATTAAAGTAACTACACAATGCTGCCTTTGTTTGGAACATATTTTTTGAATTGTATTGATAGCAGTTTGAAATTGAGCTTGTTTTGAATTTTCTATTGATTTTACTTTTAGAGATGGTATGATTAGCAGAACTGAACTGAAGGATTATTTTACCTCATCAAATTCAAAAGCCATTAGAGTTGCTTTTCAACATGATTTTAATGAAACAACTTATTTTAAACCAACATTTTGTGCTCATTGTGCTGGATTGGTAAGCATATTTCAACTGTATTGCTAGCTTCGCTTAGAAATTTAACATCTTATTTACATATTTTACATAGAGCTATTTTTTGAAAAATTTTCAGAAATTGAGTAAAAATCCTAATTTTATTTTTATTAAGCTTCCTTGTAAAAAATTTGATACACTGCAATACATATTAATTTACATATACTATCTTTTGCATTTCTTGTTTGCATTCTTTGAGTGAATAAGTTGTTACATAAATTTTGTCAATAGCAATAATCTTGTAAACATAAATTTTGTTTCTTTCATAAATTGCTCAAGTTTCTTTTCCATTTTTACAAATCCTTTCTTTTTTATATATCTGTTTTATATTCATGTGATCTTCAAAAAATGGTATGATTTTCTAATTCAAATTATTGGATTTTATAAGTTTCCACATTATTCGGGAAATTTTTTTTTGGCATGAATTAAAGCTAATTTTTTTCTTTTTCAGTACACCAATTATTGTCATCACACTTATTTATTACATAACTTTTTTTTTACTTCTTTTGTAAACTGAAAATTATATCCTATTTATTTTAATGATTTTAAATATTTTTTTTAGCTGTGGGGTCTGATAAAACAAGGCTATAAGTGTCGTGGTAAGTTTTTATTCATTATCTTAACTAAATTACTATTTTATTCTCAGCTGGTAAATTTTTTACATCTTTCTATTTTTTTCAAGGGGGGCGGTGTATACTAATGAGTTTTTTAAGTAATTTTTTTTTTAAATGCATGCTTTAAGCATGCATTTATTTGACCGCATTTAAGCATTCATTTTTCCATAATTTTCAGTTTAAATTATGGGAAAAATCTTTGAAGTTGTTTACCAATTAATCACTTTCTTTAGTTAACTTTTTTTGAAAAAAAAAGTTATGCTCAGAGATTGTCTTTTAGCATGCCTTTGATTATTTTTTTATGAACTTCAAATTTTTCGCTTTTTTTGATAATGTGTCGAGAATTACTTTTCGAAATATATGCATAAAATAGTATAAAAGGGATTTAAGAACTGTTGAGGATCAAATTCAGTTCAATTGAACAATCCCAATATTTAGAAGAAGACACTTGTGTCATTTAAAGTTTTTTCTTCATCTCTTTATTTCATCAATTTAATATTAATAATACCATACCCTATTAAAAATATTTAATGCTAATGTCTGCTAAGTTTGTAAATGTTTTGCTTTTGTATGTAGAGTATGTTTTGAAATTTTTTTTTCATTTTAGTTTAATTTTTAATATGTTTTGTTTAACTTTAAATATTTCTAAGTTTGTGCAATCATATATGTATTAATTATAGATTGTGGAATTAATGCACATAAGCATTGTAGAGAATTAGTGGTCATGGTGTGCAGAAGAACTTCTGCTACAACTTCTCGATCTAACTCTTTTGCTACTGCTGGTGAGTTATAATTATATTTTTAATATTATCAATGTGGTTACTAAAACAATGAGTTTTTTAGTAGCAGCAAGCAAACTATTTTTGTTTTATGCATTGTGTTCAATCTAGAATGAATTCTTGTTTTTTCTGTATGAGTAGAGGAATGGAAATTTTCCATTAATGGATGGATTATAATGGAAATTTTCCATTTACCTTATATGGACAGTCTTTTTAGAATATCAATAAAACCTTTATTGATTTTAACTACAATATGACAAAGATGAGAATATACATTAAAGATGATGAATTTACATTAAATGGGATGATTCATGATAATTATAAAAGTGATGAAAGGATTCAGCAAGTTACTAGCGGCGAGCTGCTTCTCGAGTTACATTACATCTACTTTTTGGTTTTTGAAAACAAAAAGTTAATATTTCTGCTGCGCTTACAGCCCCATCTGTTGACAGTTTTTGGCTTACCATGAGGGCTTGCGACACATTGAGTAAATCATTGAAAAGAATCTAGGAGATTGTCATATTTCCTTTATTGAAAAACGATATCAAGACTATATACATTTATTGTGTGTTGTTACTTATTTACTTTTAACTCTCACAACATCAAATGACTATTTATCAATGGGAGCATTTTGTTTTGAAATTGGTTGACTTTAACTTTAAAAGTGGTTTTTGTGGTTTGAGAAAAAAGGACTAATTATATTGGAATGAATGATTTAGCTTGAACGTTTAAATAGGTATTAAATTTACATTGCGTCTATGAATAGGAGTTTGTACTAAAGAGTGTAGACTGTATATTGTAATTAATTGGCATACATGGAAGGGAATGTTACCTATTTATCAGCTTGTTTCATGCTTATAAAAAATATTAAAAACACATTGTTAAAAACAATTGAATCATCTGTTCACACTATTTTTTTAACAAAAAAAAATATTTGTTTGAATCTAATGCATATTTAAAATCTTTTTAGTTATTAGTTATCTGACATCATTAACTATAAGTTTTTGCTCTAAAAAAGTGTTTTTGCATATCTTTTTACACATTAATATATCTGTGTATTAATTTTTAAATTCATACACATCAATCCCTCTGTGTATGAATTTTTAATTTTTTACATATCAATGCCTCTGCGTAGGAATTTTTTAATTCTGCATACATACTGGATTTGAATTTAAAAAGAGAGTTAATTCAAAATTGGCTATGTCTGTTTGGATTTAAAATGTATCTACTTATTGAGAAAAGTAGAAAAACATTTGGACTATCATGCTATTTGTAATTTCTAAGAATCATTGTAGGTTTGTTAGTTACTTTTTTTAAACTCTTACTTTGCTTTGTATGCAATAAAGTTGAAAGAAAAATCTTTATAGCAATTGCTTATTCAAATATTTTCTCTAAAATTATTCTATTTATTATTTTTATAAAAATTAGCTATAGTGAAATTTATTTTCTGAAATACTCTAAATCATTCACTTAAGTAAAATTGGATTATTGGAAAAAAGAACCTATATTTAGGATTTAGTTTGGTTATCTCATTTATTAATTTTATGTTATTTTTCTAGATCTATTTATACTTTTTTCCTAAATATTATCAGTTTCGCTAAATTTGCAAACGTTCAATCTTAATTAAGTGTTGCATCATTCTAAAGTTAGTCTTCATTTAAAAAAAATGTTTCTATTAGATTATTGTTTTTGCCAAGTGTTTTATAGTTTATTCAAATGCTTTTGAAATGCCTATTTAAATTAAAATTTGTAATCATTGTAGATGGACCAAAAATGAAGCCCAGAATGCAACGGCCTTGGCGACGTCAATTAAAAAGCAGTCAATCTGATAGTGATTCAAGTTTCAGTCCTAGGACAAGTGCTGAAGGTGATTCCTGTTCTTGTGATAATGGATTTGTGCTAGTTGATGAAGCTTTTGCCACCAGTGCAAAAAATTCCTTTGACGCAAAAGATGCTCCCAAGAGTCCTACTTTAAGTTAGTATACCACTTTATTAAATTTCACATTACATTCAGTAGATCAACAACACTATTTTAACATAATTATTATATTAATACAGAATTTTGGTGCAAAAATAAATGTCAGTCTTCAGATGATGTTTTAAACATCATTGTAGATCAATGACTTCTACAAGAAGCATGTGCTATACTTTGCTATTTCAAACCATGAAACTGTGGATTTAACTCACAAAGCAGAGTTGGCTAAAAATCATGACGTACACAAATAAACTGGAACACATTTATTATTACTTTCAATGGTTAACTTAAATCTAAAATTCTAATTGAATATACAAATATATATGTCGGATCATCATACAATCGGCCAAAGACTCAAAAGATGAGTTGGCGGCTCATCCCTCTCCACCGGCATGAAAAAAGAAATTGTTCGTTCTTTTATAGATAACGATTTCGTACGTCACATTGATTGAATGCTTGTTTCTTGAATTCCCTTCACTTCCTTCCTGGAAACGAATCTGAAAAAATAAACTCAAACACTAAAGTTTATAAATGGAAACTACTTATTTCCACAGAAACTTCTTACTTCCTTAAAATATTAAGTACATATAACTGCAAATTAACTATGTAAAAACTATAATGCATAGCTGCCAACTGTTCAGAATTTTTCGGATTCCTTCCTAATTTTTAAATTAAATCCGAAAATCCGATAGTTTCATTTTCGTAAAATTTCAGTATATTTGCTTTTAAACCAATCCCGTGTTCTGATCGCTGCAAGTGTGCTTCCTGTGATCGTTGTGTGGAAGTAATTTTTAGCAGCTTTTTATTGGAAAACACTGTTCTAATAGCTGCTGTTGATCTTTTCAGTAAATTAAATCTTAAACTACTATTATTGTTTTTTAAAAAGTGTATTGTAGTATTTAAACACTACAAAAGAGCTTGCATCAGAAATATTTTTTTATGATGCAGATTATTATTAACCTGTATCTTATAATTTGGAGAAGAAGAATTATATATTGATTGGTAAAGGTTGTTTTTTTTAAACTATTATACCGGTATTCCTAATTATAAAATGTTATATTATAAACCTCCCACAAAAGATGGTGTTTATAGTTTTGTTTTACTAATTTACATGAAAGGTATTTAATGATATTTCGTAAATGCTATTATTTAATAGTTATATTTTTGTCTTACTCTCGTAATTGGTGTGTATAATTTTGTCCCATATAGTGTTCCTAATTTTTTATTCCTAAGACAGCTATGGTAATTTTAATCTTCTAAATTTTAAGGCATTGTTTAAAGTTCTTTCATTGAAGGAAATAAAAAGCCACTAAACTTGTTGAACGGCTTTAATTTTGAATTATAAATATCATCTTAGTGATTGTCTGGATAATAAAACAGAGAAGTGGCTTAAATATTTCAAAAATAATGAATTTTTTTTTAAAATTTACTTATTTGGCAAGTGTATATTCACATAGACAAAAGTTGTACAAATCTTCTCTATTATCTTAATTTTTGCATTTATCCAGGAGCACAAGTTTTGAATATTTTATTCAAGATACAATATTTTTACAAGAGAATATTTTATAACTTGAAAAACTTGATAGCAAAGCCTTTTCTTTTCTCAAAACTGTTTATCTGACTTCTTGTGCAATTTCATAATCAGCGTAGAGAACACAGATTAAAGATAGTCAAAACTTATTCAAATCGTCAAAAAATAGCTGTTATAATCCCACAAAAGTTGTAAAAATTGCATATTATTTATTAAATGGCATTATTGCCCATGATGACAGCCTTCGTAGAGCAGCCTTAAATTATATATATATAAATTTAAGAATATGGATATGAAATATGTTAATAACATAGTTATTAACAGAAAGCAGTTGGAGCCTACTGTCACATCCTTAAATGATTGGGTGTTTATAAAAAAGACAAAAGTCCTTAATAATTGTTGAAGAATATTTTCTGATCACTCGTTCAAACTTGCCAATATTTTGACGATTGTTTTTTCATTTTTTAGAAACTCCCTCATCTCCTAAAGTAACATCGTTACACAGTTGTGGCTGCAAACAAGAGTTCATGCTACCCCAGACTCCCCCTCCTCTACCAGACAAATCTGCACAAAAACGATCATTGCCCTCCAAACAACACACTCTCTAAAAGTTCAATATTTAATGCAAGTGACATATTCTAGTCTTTCTTTTTGGTGAGACTCTTTTTGAACCTTTTGGAAGGGAGTTCTTACAAATCGAATCTCATTCCAGATCTTCCATATTCAAAGATGTAAGATAGTAATTTTTAAAGAACTTTTTATAAGGTTTCGTCCCTTCTCAAGATGATTGTCTTCGATGGAATTTTAACCGATTTTATGTATACTAGTCATTGTGTCTGTGTCTCTATTGTGTTTTATGTTACAGGGCTTGATTTCTGAAATAGTGTGTATATGCACAGAAACGCAAAAGCTCATTTAAATTAAGATTTTATACATGTTAATTTGGTGATCACAAAAGCACCCACTTTATTTGATTTTCTGATAGCTTTTTGCATTTGAATAAGCTCTAAAATAAACAAGGGGTATATTGATGTAGGACTTGAGTTTATATAATGAGTGAAATTTTCAAATTGTTTAGGAGAGCACTTTTCGTGTAAAACACCATGATTTTCATTACGCAATAAGATATGTTTGTGTTATTTGTACTGTTATAGTTAGAGAGTTCAGAAACTTAAAATGTTCCCATTGTGACAAAATGAGTAAGCCCTAATTTAAATAATAACACGCACTTAATAGTAATTATAATAATTTACAAAGTATTTACAATATTTGCTCTAAACAAGGAAATAGGCTTAGGGCGAGACATCTTAACCAGCTGAATAATAATCTAAGAACTGCCACTACATAAAAATCTCATCTACCTCACAAAATTGTTTTGTTATCAAAAGCGGTGTCTCGTTTCTAAAATGAAACTTTTTTTCGTTCTTTTTCTAATATGTTATACCGTCTAATAGCAATAATAATAAAAATATTGTAATGTCAAAATTTCACCTTTTAAATAAGAGTGAAGAGAGAAAATGTCACTTTTTAAAGAAGGATATTACCCCAAATCCTTCAGAAATATATTTTAGCTTATTTAAACTGTATTGCCTTCAATTTTGTATGCTTCTCTGAAATACTTTCTAAGATTTTTTTAAGGGTATATCAATTGTCTTATCTATTATTAAGACAAATAATGTATAATTATAAATTTTTTGTTCCTTATTTTTGAAATAAAATTAAACTGAACTATAAAATGGGATATTATATTTTAAAATTAAATATTATAATTAAACTATTATTTATTATGAAACACATCTTAATGTATGAAAGCAAGCCCTGTTTGATAGTATTAACTTGTCTCTTTATTTCTAATTTGATTTAATATCAATTATTCAAAATGTTTGTGAAGGATTTGCAGTGAATTATTAACATTAAATTTTTTTAATATCTTATCACATAGTGTTAGTTATAATGTTAGGTATATTATCCAAAATGGTGAATTTTGTAACAGATTCTTACTAGTTATATGCTTACTGTCTTTCTTTTAATAGAATTCCTGTTAATTAAGGGACCACTAGTATTAACATATTCTAACATAAAAAAATATTTTGGATATTTTAATCTTACTTTTTTTTCTTCCTTTGCTCTTCAATAAGTTATTTATAAACATATATGGTACTAAACTGAAAGTTAATTTTTTACATGGCAAAAAGAGATGAGGAATTTGGATATGTATAAAGAATTTTTAACGTTTGTATTTTTAGATTCTAGTCAGTAAATATACATGAATTTAGACGAATGAATGTAGGTAACTGAAAATCGAAGCATCGAAGTACTGAATTGCAATTATAGACATAAATGAATTAGATATTTTAACACTTCAATTAGTGTTTGAATTTTTAAAACTCTATAAGTGAATTTATACTAGTTCTTAATAAAGGAAATAAATTAAATTACCTCATAGTATTTTCTGGTATATTTTTAATGCAGAAAGTTTGCATTTAAAGATGTAATGAAGCTAAACTTGTAATAAAGCATCAAGGCAGAAAAATTGCTGTAAAATATTGATGCAGCTTTTGTAGAAAAATAGGATTTAATTAAACTTTTGCATGAATAACTAAATTTTTAGCATATAATTTGTTATTCATATTTTCTATTTTAAAGGTCTCATGCCTTATAAAAATTTAATTAAACTTAGAATTAAAGAAAAATATTCCAAAACTCTGTAAAACTGCAAAAAATTATTATGTTATTATTATAAATCTGAAGTTTTTTTTCTCTCATTTAACTTTTAATGTTTGACTTTTCTTTGAATATATGAACATAATACAAAAAGTATATGTTTAACATATTTTCTGTAAAATATGACTTTTGGATGACTTTGGGTCTGCCTAGGCTTGACAATATCAATCTTGGTCCTCCAAGTGTGACTCCAAATTCATATCTAATATGGGTAGCCAAATGCAAAACCTGCTGTTTTTTTAAGACAAAAAATTATGTTTTCTTTTAAATGTCTCTTTAATTAATGAAAGAATTATTTTGTTCAAATTGTTTTTGTAAAACACAAAATAACATTATTTGAACAATATATTATGAAATTTTTATCTTAAAATTTTGAAAATTCAGCTATTTCAAGAGATTTCTTTAGAGAAAAGTTATCTCCAATATTCAGAAAAATTCATACCTTTATAAATACTGGATTAAAAACTTCATTTGCTTCAAAAATATACAAACTGGAAATTTTCTTGACATGCTGGACTAAGAGATTTTTTTTAAATTTTAAAGTCTTTTATATATATTATAATATAAAATTCTTAATTAATTTCAGTTTTCACATATACTTTTATCAATAGCCTATTTCTGTAATAGAAATAGTTATGTACTTTGTAACGTGTTTTATGTTCTTTTTAATTTCCCTCATCTTGTTCATAAAGCAGTCAATAAGTTTTTTTTTTGCATTGAGCTACTTGTATTATGTTACACTTTAATAAGAGAAATATACCTATAATTATCTACTCTATAGACATTTGTTACTGTAATTTTTTTACAATCTTTTTTTTCAGTTCATAAAAATTAAACAAATCAAAATGTTAGTGAAAACACTGAAATGAATTATGCACTGCTAGAAAACTTTATTTTGTTATAAAAAATCTAAATATGTAAAAAATTGTCATGGTCAAAATAAACACTGTGATTTGGGCTTCCACTTGAATTTTAAAATTTTGAATGTAAATTGAAATTTAGAAGTGTAAACAGGGTGTTCTTGCCTTTAAATTTTTGCTATTAATCTACACGTAATATGATTTAATTATAATGTAATTATCAGCATATGTATTTTAAAAGTACATTGCAATTGCATTACTTGATGGTTTTAAGTTCAACTAAGCATTGTAGTATTTTAAACACGGAATAATTTGATTAAAAACTTGCTGGAGGAGGTATTTATGTGATTCCTTCTTTTCATGTACCTAAGCATAAGTATTTTGGTTAAGCTTGTGATAAATAAGCGCCAATGCATTGTGATGTTGTTTATATTTATATGTTACTTCAGTAAAAATAATCTTAAGAGGTAGAATCTGTTTTAAAATATTCTTGAAATTTACAAAAAAATTGTAAAAATTATATTATAAACCTACTGAGATGTATCAAAAGTGCTTGATTTGCAAGATCAATTTAAAGCAAAATTGAAAGGATATAAAAATGTACTACGGTTATCTGTATAGGTTTTTGGAAACCAGTTTAACTCAACAGGTTTCAAAATCACTTACTTAAACTAAAAAAATTTTTTTTTCCAAGACATTCCAATTGAAATATTTAACACTTCATATTGTTACCTCAAATGATGATTATCTTAAGAACAATGTTCTATAGTGTTTTTCAGCTAGTAGCCCCACTGTTGAGGGATTCCGCTATTAGTTTTTAAATTTGGAGTGAAAAATTTTTCTGGTTTTCTAAGAAGAATGAGTAAACCATATATTTAGATCTTTAATTTTTCTTTAGTTATTTTTAAATAATTTGTCACAAAATTTTACAAAAATCTGCAAAAATTTCTAGTTTTGAATATTCAGTGTCTCAGAATTTAGATGAGCATACTTTTAGATGAAATTATTAAACTTTACTTGGAGTGAAAGAAACTTTAAAATTTTAGGCTTTAATATAATATTCTTCCATAATAATAGGGTAGTTGAATACTATCTTAGAATTATTTTAAGTTATGGCTTGATATTTACATGCTTAATTTTTTACGCATATCAGACTTGCATTACTTTATAGAAATGGTAAATAATAAACCTTTTCTAATAAATGATTAAAGAATGCTACATATTCTTGCATAACAAGCTGCAGTGGTACTCAAAAACCTGTTTCGTTTCTTACAAGTAACTTTCCCAAATTTTTTTATTTTATTTACAATTTTGAATTTTTTCTTTAAATGCAAATGTAGCAATTTACATCTGACATAGTATTTTACATTTAATTAGGTAATTCTTTAATCTCCTGAAAAGTAAAAAGTTGTACGCCATTGGTATGTGTGTGGTGGGGGAGGGGATAATAAATGGTGAAATGTCATATTTCATCACTTATGTTTAAATGCATAAACATTATAATTTCCTCGTTGAAATAAATTACTTGTCATCATCAAGCAAAGTCTTATTTCATTTGTATATTAACATTCTGTGTCGCCTTAACAGGTGATAATAAAAGTTTTGAATTGCATCTTTTGCCAAAATAGCCAGACTTGTTTTTATTACTTTTAAATGGTCGAGGTTACTTTGTCACTTCAAAATGTCTGAGTTTTGGAGTAGTTGATAGGTTTTGAAATGAAGGCAATTCAAGCCTAGTTGAATTGACCAAGAATTCTAGATAGTCTTACAATAAACTCGTTGGTTTTAGGAAGTTTTTTTAAATTTTAGGAAACTGTGAAATAGATAAGTTTACATCTGAAATCAAAAAGCAAGATGTCTATTACTCTGGGTTTTCTGTCATTTTTAATGAATTTTATTTCAACTGAAAGAATATGGGGCACTTTTGAAAATTATAGTCAAGCTAATGATTTTCCAATTGTTCCTGTAATAATTCCATAATTCCTATTGCATCTTTATCTATGTGATTCTGTAGAGTCAACATGAGGATAACTTTGGTAATAAAATTTGAAAAATTTTTTGAACTTGGGCTGTTAATTTTAATGCTATATATAAGTTGTGTTATCATATGAAAAATGCAATTTGTATAATATGAATTTCATTTCAATATTATTATCAAAATTGCTTAAACTGATTTCTGAAATCACTACGGCTAAGTAATTCTGCTCCCAATTAGAAATCTCATTATCTGTTGTTATAAAATATCCATGACTATTTTCTAAGACTGTTTATTCCTTCTTTAAAAGTTTACTATTATAATATTTTTATTTCTTTAATTTAGTTTAAGTTGCCAGATTTCTCTTTAAATTTTTTTTGTGGTTTCTCAGTTAAACTGCTTTTTATTTTTAAGAAATGGCAATGGATGCAAAACAAACATGGATTATCATCTGCAATTTCTTTTAATATGCTAATGAATAGATATGTAGTTTTCTTGCATGCTATCTTTTTCACATTAAGATGTTTGTAATTTTGTAGAATTTGTTAGAATTTTGTACCAACTTTTACGAAACAGCATTTACTGATCAAACCAATTGAAGCTATGCATTCATTGTAGATGA